ACTAAGAATGCAAAGCTAGGCAGATGAGCTCACTCAAATAAAAAAATCATTAGCATCTATCTCCAAGCACTTCTGGCTGAAAGAACCTCTTTAACGTAGATGCTAATTCTCTTTCAAATGACCGAGTGATGCTAGTCTTTGAAATGCCTGAGTGAAGGTGTGCAACCACACCGAAAGGTAGTAACCATGCAAACCAAGAACATGTATTGAAAGAAACTGCAATGAATTTATCAAGTAGAACTGGCATTTCATCGAATGCCTAAAGTGCAAGCAGTAGTAGCATAGAGCAACAAGCACAGGAAAATCACATCCAGCGTGGCAACCACCCGAGCGTCTGGGCCGACCAGTAGCAAGGACAGCTGGTAGCGGCCTGCTGGCATGGCTGGATGCCTCGACGAGGGCGAGGTCGATGGAGGAACCTAGGACGAGAGAGAGACGCCTGGTCCTACCTATCGGCGTAGGGAGGATGCGGTGAGTCAAGGGGTGCAGACCGCGCGACAGGAACGATGACAAGCATCAGCAGCCAGCGCCGCCCGCCGTCGTCAGTGGCGAGTTGAACCTTCGCTTCTCACCCCAGCGTGGTCGTCGTCAACAGGGAGGGAGCTCTGCCCACATCTTCAGTGAGGACTGATTAAGCGAGGTGGCACTCGTCATGCCGGTGCCGCACCAAAAAACAAAGGCTGGCCGCCATTTCGGTTGTCAACCTCGGCCGACGGCCGCTCCTCTCCCCGTCAATGGCATCTTCCGGCCGGCATCGTCTCCTGTACGTGAGGGTGAGGCGACCACGATCAATGAACCTCAGCCGCGATCAACTAGGGCGGCGATGGCCCTACCGCGTGGGTGGCGCACGCCTGCCTAGGTGTGGCGCGGGGGGCAACCGTGCTGGGGGCCGTCGCTCCAGGGGCCACCCATGGCGGTGCGCCGCCCGCGCAGGGGCCTGATGTGGCCGGCTCGCCCGTCGCCGCTCCGTCGCCGCCAGCGTCGGGGGAGGAGAAGAAGAGGACGCCCGCCGTCGCTCCGGGGGCGGCCCGCGTCAGGGTAGGAGAGGAAGAGGGTCAGGTACCGCCAGACGCCGAGTTTCGTCGCCGCCGTCGCCGACGGCGAGGAAGAGACAGCTAGGGTTTCGTCGAGCACACGCGGACCGACGGGACGAGGCAGCGTCGGGGGAGAGCAGGGGCTCGGACGCCGCCGTGGCCACCGGCGTTGGACGGCGCACCATGGCGCCGTGCCGGGGGACGCCGCTACGCCGCGCACAGGGTGCGGGGAGCCTCGGCGGTCACGACGAGGAGCGAGGGAGAGAGCGAGAGCGCGGAGAGGAGAGAGAGGAGGGGAGGAGCAGAGCTGCTGCCGCCTGCCATTCACTCGAGAGAGAGATAGAGGAAGGAGCACCATTTTACGTGTGACGACTGTAGGATCTAGGACCTCAATCACACAGTGGATTAGTGGCTAACACAAGAAAACGCGAGATCAAACAATGAACACACTCAAGAACACAGGAAATGCCCCGAACTGGCAACTGTCTACAGGGAGAGACAGTGCCCCTTTTCACTTACTATAGTTCGAGGTACAATACATAATTACAGAATAACGAAGCAAACGTTAGGTAGTGCTATATACTACTAAATTGCTCGTTGGTTTCAACCAAATTTCAAATCACAAATTAATGTTGTTTTCCTCTCACAAAAACCAAAGATCACCAAAATTTCCCAAACCAAAGACCAAAGACCAACCAAATGAACAGCCCTACGGCTTTATATCCCAGCCGATACAAGACACATATACAAGAATGAATGAAAATCGCTAAAACATGGATACAAGATTTAGCACTTCAGAATCGCTGTTGGCACGTGTCGTCGTATGCGCTTCACCGCGCACTAACTGGACCTCCATTCAAACTGGCGTTTCACCTTCGCTGCTGACTTGGCTTCACTCATATGTCATTGCACACGTGCACGCTTTGATTTTAGCCCAACATACTCCCCCCTAAGCCATCAGACACTCACATCTCGAACACTCATCGTGTGTTTCATCACCTCAAGTTTCCTAAATTGCTAGAGGCTTCACAATCAGCCTTTTGTTCTCTGCTGCTCACCCTTTTCACCACTATCTATCCTCTTTCTATGCACTCTCCGATGAAATGATACATGGTATCAATATGCTTGTCGCGCGGATGAAACACCGGGTTTTCATCGTCAGGCAATAGCGGAGTTGTTGTCAACAAACATTGTGGACTGCTTTTATGGTGTTGAAGTTAATTCTGACAAAGAAACTCCTAAGCCGTAGTGCTTGCATTGTCGCCACAAAGAGGCTGCCATAAACTCGCTTCACATGAAAGATAAAGCTACCGCTTTTGCTTTTGTGAGCCCCCAAGTTATCAAACAACCATTGAGATAGAAAGCCATTCTTGCAAGATTTCTCCTTCCCACAAAGATTCTGCAAAGATGGTCACTTTGTCCCGAGTAGGCAACCAACACCTCTGGACCCCCAAACACCACCCCATGATCAAGACTACCCGCACATATCTCGAATCGCTTGATCAAGATTCTAATGCATCACACTTGGTTTTTCCATGTGTCTCACCGACAATGCCAACCAAAAAGCCAAATCAGTCTTGTGTGCGATGAAGTATCTCAGATAAACCTATGACACTCCAGATTCATGAGTGTCCACCCTTTTCCCTTTTTTGTCTTCATCTAATTTAGTTTCGAGATTCATGGGAACCTTAGTGGTATTGCAACCTTCCATCCCAAACCTAGCAAGAATTTTCTTGGCATACCCTGCCTGCTTCAGAGTGATAAAATCATCATGCTGTTCCACTTCTATTCCCAGATAGTAGGAAAGCAATCCCAAATCACTCATTTCAAATTCTGCTGACATTTGTTGTTTGAACTTGTCAATTTCACTTGGAACATTACCAGTAATCAACAGGTCATCTACATAGACACCCAAGATAATGGTAGCTTCTCCATCTTCTCTCTTGTACACTGCTGATTCACTAGGACATTTTGCAAAACCTAGCTTCTTCAAGCTTTTATCTAGCTTGATGTTCCAGGCCCTTGGAGCCTGTTTGAGCCCATATCAAAGGACTTGCTCAACTTCAAGACACACTGCTCTTTCCCTTAACCTGCACCTTCCGGTTGTACAACATAAACTTCCTCTTCCAAATCACCATTCGTAAAAGTCATTTTGACATCAAGATGGTGTACCTTCCACTCATTGCTTGCAGCCTAAGGCTAGAATCGGCCAATCAGATCAATCCTCGGCTATAGGAGCAAAAACTTCATCATAGTCAACTCCATGCTTCTGCACATAACCTTTTGCAACCAGCCTAGCTTTGTGCTTGACTATTTCCCCATCTGCATTTCTCTTCAACTTGAAAACCCATTTCAAACCAATGGCTTTATGACCAGTAGGTAGCTTTGACAATTTCCAAGTTCCATTCTTCTCAATGGAGCTAATCTCATTATTCATTGCCTCCACCCATTCTGGGTTTCCTACTGCTTCACTGAAATTCTCAGGTTCATCAGATTCAGTAAGTAGTGCTTCTACTTCATCTGAGTCTGCTAACTCTACTTCTTCAGTGTCATCATAAATATCATTCAAGTTTCTGAAATGCTGTGGTTCTTCATCTGATAGATCATCAAAGATCATCTCTGGATTTGATTGCTCCCCCACACTATGTGTGTTCTCAGTTTCCTACAGTGAATTATCAGTATTGATACTAGCACTTGACTGTGCTCCAGGTGACTGTATCTCATCTAGCACACTGCCTAAACTACCTGCTGACAAAGTTTCATCAGTCCCTGGTTGAGGCATCTCTACATTGTCATCAACATTCACTGTCTCCCAGTCAGTGTTGTCAACAAACATCTCACCTCCAACCTGATCTTCTTCCATTTCATTTGTTGAGAATTCATTCCACCCCAACTCATCGCTTCTTCAAGATTGTATCCTCTTGATTATAATCCTTTTCGCACAGATCATATAAGCTATGAGCCTTGCTTCCTTCTTCCACACCAAAATATACTAGTCTTTGACTCCAGTCATCTAGTTTCTTCAGTTGTGGTGTTGTTTGTTTTGCATGTGCCAGACATCCAAACACTTTTACATGACCAAGGTGAGGTTTTCTCGCCATTCATTGCTTCAAATGGAGTTTGCTCCCCATAGGCCTAGTAGGCGCCCTGTTAAGCAAATAGACAAAGATGTCTAACACTTCTCCCCAAAACTTTCTCGAATCTTCATACTTTTCAAAGATGGATCTTGCCATCTCCATAATCGATCTGTTTTTTCTCTCAACCACACCATTCTCATTGTGGTGAGTAGGGAGTCATCATTTGTCTCTTTATCCCAAATTTCTTCACATATACCGCAAATAGCTTGGACAGAAATTCACCCCTCTGCTGATCTCAACACCTTGATCTTCTCCCAGCTTTGGTTCTCGCACTTCACCTTGTACTTCACAAACACATCCACCGCTCGATCCTTACTCTTGAGCATAGAAACATTCATCCATCTACTATGATCATCAACTAGAAGCATAAAGTATTTGTTCCCAGCTGGTGTAGGAGGGGTGATGGGACCACAAAGGTCAACATACACAAGTTGAAGTGGCTTTTCAGCTCTGAAACTTGTAGTTTTTGGAAAAAACTTCCTAGCTTGCTTCCCAGCCAATGACATCCATGACAAACCTGCTTGTTCTATCATTGGCACACCCGCAGCCATCTTCTTCTCCACTAGCAATCTCACAAATTCACATGACCCAACCTAGCATGCCACACCCATGTCGGGCTCCTCTATTCTTCCCATTAAACACACTGGATCAGCTAACTTGAGTTCAATTTTATAAAGTCTGTTAACTGATCTGTCAATTCTCATCACCAGCTTCCCTGATACTTTATCAACCACTTCTAGAAAATCATTATCAAGTAGAATTCTATGCCCCACTTCAAAGTCGGCTAAACTTACCAGATTACTTTTTTAGCTTAGGAATGTAATACACCTCATGCAAGAACCAATCGAATTCCCTTATCTTTGCATTGAAACAAAACAGAGCCCTTTCCCATGATTTCTATTGCAGAGCCATCCCCAAATCTAACTTTGCCAGTTATATTTCTATTCAATTCCTTGAATTTAGCAGGATCACCAGTCATATGGTTTGATGCACCATTATCTAAGTACCAGACATTACTAGTGTTAAAGCCACCACCAAGAAGATGCGCTCGAATCACCTTCTCTTCCTTCAGATCACCGCCGCCGCCTCCCCGAAGCTTGCAATGGGCTCGGCATTTTCTCGAGCAACTGCGGCTCCTCCAAGAATGTGGAGCATCAATGCCGGCTCGACGCTTCTCCACCCGGGCATATGAGCCTCCTCGCCGCCCTTTCTTCTCCTTTGGACAACGGTTGGCGTAGTGCCCGTAGTCCTTGCGCTTGAAGCACTTTGATGTGCTCCTTGTTCTTCTTGGCGGCCGGCTGTCGCGTCTGGCGATCCTCACACCACCACGGCCACCTCTCCCTCGGCCCCACCACCACGCCCGCGCCCGCCACCATCAAGCAACCCGCCTCTCCCGAAGCCTCTCCGCCTACCTTGCTCTCGCTTTGCTTCCCACTCTGCATGTGTGAGCAAGAATCGCCTTTTTTCAACTGATCCCCAGCTCCCACTGGACTCTTTCCTCAAATGCCTTTAGTCTCCCGATCGCTTTCTTCAAACAAAGAACTCCTTCAGATCATAAAACGCTCAATACCTACCACCACTACCGAGGAAGCGCCCAAAGATAGTGTCGAATAGCCTTCTTGACCATGGTCACACATCTAGCGTGCCTCCCAAGTTCTTCATCTCTCAATCGACATGGCGTTCAAACTTCCCATACTCATCAATAGGTTCTTCCTCCTTCATCTTCATTGCATCAAATTCTCGCTTAAGCGTCTGCGGTCATCACGAACACGAGCCGCGCCCACGAACCTCACCTTCAGGCAGTCCCCGATCTCCTTTCTAGTCTTCTTCTTCGCCACTTGCATGAGTAGATCATCGGGCAGACACTGCAGGAGATGCGCCTTCGCCTTCTTGTCCTTGGTAGTTGCTTTCTCCTTCTCTGCACCGTCCGCATGCCGTTGGCGACTCCACCTCCTCCGGCTCAACAACCTCCCATACTCCTTGATCTTCCATGATGGCTCGCACCGGATGCTCCAACTCACATAGTTGGTCGCCGTGAGAGGCGGCTACACCATCCTCCCCATCTCCTCGCCGCCACGTTCCCCCTTCCCGCTGCCCGAGAGCTCTCGTTCATCTTGGATCAAACGAGTATGTGGAACTGCAGATCGCTGCCTCTCGATACCGTAATGTAGGATCTAGGACCTCAATCACACAAAGGATTAGTGGCTAACACAAGAAAACACAAGATCAAACAATGAACACACTCAAGAACACAGAAATGCCCCGAACGCAACTGCTTACAGGGAGAGAAAGGCCCTTTTCACTTACTATAGTTCGAGGTACAATACATAATTACGTAATGACGAAGCAAACGTTAGGTAGTGCTATACTACGGCTTTATATCCCAGCCGATACAAGACACATATACAAAGAATGAAAAACTGCTAAAACATGGATACAAGACGAGCACTTCGCAATTCTTTGTTGCTATTCACCATGTCGTCGTGGGCGCACTCACCGCGCTAACTAACCGGACCTCCATTCAAACCGGCGTTTCGCCCACTTCTGGCGACTTGGCTTCACCGCTATGTCATTGCACACGCGCACACACCCGGTTTAGCCCAACAACGACCACGGTGGAGGCCAGCTCTGCAAAGCAAACAAGGCCCAGCAGTATGCACGCATGCGTGCTGCCCACTAGTTAGGCACCGACCATGCATGTCGAGAATCCACCGTTCTCTGCTACGCGCCATACCGTCCATTTGCAAGCTGCCTACGATCAGAGGAAGTTGTACTTCATTTAATGCGTGTTGCTTCATCTATCTACTGCGAAATGCACGGATGAAGGCCGGTTGTGACGTGCCTCATCTGTGTTGTGGAATTTCTATCTAACACACCAAATAAAAAGAGTGTACGTGGACACCCTGGGAGACTGCCGATTCGGCGTGCCTTCATATCTTTAATGTTGCACCAGCTGGTTCACGCACTGTGCAAACCTACATAAAGACTTTTGTAGGCAACCAAACATGGACAACTGCGGTGCACAAGTCTAAGGTGGTGTTTGGTTTGCCCTCCTAAATTTTAGTCGATGTCCCATCGAATGTTTGATACATGCATGGAGTATTAAATATAGACTAATTATGAAACTAATTACATAGTTTGCGACTAATTTGCGAGATGAATCTTTTAAGCCTAATTAGTACATGATTTGATAATGTGGTGCTACAGTAAACACGTGCTAGTGACGGATTAATTAGGCTTAAAAAATTCATCTCGTGGAGTACTGACGGATTATATAATTTATTTTTTTATTAGTATCCGAACACCCCATGCAATATTCTCCCGACACACTTTCTAAATTTTAGTCACTGGATCCAAACACCACCTAAATATAGACGGATGCAGATAACTAATGAGACCCTTAGAGTTGGTTTGCGTGAGACACTTCCTCACCACTTTATTTTTTCCCATTCACCTCATGCTAAAGAATTATCACATTGGCTTTTCTAAGTTCCCATACTTTAAGAGGATGTTTGGTTTCCAGCCACAATTTGCCATGACTAATGTTATGCACCAGCCACATGTGTGGCTTGCCATAATCTGTGGCAAAAACAAGGTGTTTGGTTAGTGACTAAGGTTTGGCAAATAAAGTGTGGTTGTTGTTTGGATTTCAACCACAAAAATTTGGAAAATTGTTGTGGCATATGTTTGGTTTGCTGCCACATATATTACCAGTTTGCCAACCTTTACACAAAATCAGTAACCAGGAAAAACAATCAACAACCGGCTGTTTATTCTTCACGAGCAAAATAAGAACACACCATCTTGTAGCCATCATTCATTACTAGACAACTAAAAGTTCCTTAACATATTTACAAAACAGCCACGTTCAAGCTACAGGCAGGTTTAAAGGTCTAGATTACAATATTAATTACAAAAGCGAAGAAGCGCCTAAGCATGGATTAGTACTACACCGCCAAAATGGGCACACATCGAACCAAACAAAATTAGTTCTTGTACATCCCTAAGCCATCGTGGTCATCACCACACCAAAAAAGCTTGCTTGCATATATATCCTAAGCCATCAGTCATCACCACAACCAAAATAAGAACCCAACCAAGTTTCTGGGCTCACCACAAGCTAAGCTTCACAGGTTAAAGCCTTCTCTATCACATAAGAACTTGAACACCCAAGCATTTAGAGTATCGGCGCTTGCATTACATAACCAGCCACGCTTACCTTTATTCTCCTTGGTAGACAACTGTTCACCAATAAGAACCCTCTGATCTGGTGTCATTGGGATTGCCTCTAGTTTTTGCCATAATAGTGCATGAGGATCAGTAAGCTGTGGCATTTGGGGAGGGGCAGTGGCAGCAAGTGTTTCCCAAAGTGACTTCATTGTAGCAGTTATTTCATCAGTGGAACCTGCAAAACAGCTCTTGTTTCTTGATTTCTTAGTTGGTGACTTATTGGCTCTTGGACGCTTCCTCCTAGCTTCACTAGTGCTGGAAGATGTGTTATCAAATGTAGCATGTCTGGTTGGAGTTGGCAAAGTGTCTGAATCCTCACCTTCTAGATCTTCAGGCTGTGTGTAGCAATTGAGGTCAATTAGTTCTCTTGATTCATCACTATCTGAGCCATCATCAGCATCCATGCATGTGTTCTGGTCCATAGCCAAAGATCCATCAGCATTGGATCCTATGAATAGTTCTCTCATCTCATAGTAGAACTTGATGGGCTTAGCAAGCAGGCGTCTTGCTCTGTCCTGCAATCATGTGAACAACGAAATTGATTTCATATACTGCGAACAAGTGAATTGGTTTCAGATTCTAAAATAGAATAAATAATAATTAAATTTAGTGCAAGCAACTTACAGATAATTCTGCTTTCTCAGATTCTGAAACAATCACCATGCATCTGGTTTCATCAAATGTGTTGCCACTATTCCTCAGAGCTGTTGCAATGTACTTCCAATTTTCTTTGTGGTACCTATAGTGACGGTCCACTTGATCAACGGTCACCCCCATAGCAAACTTCTTGTTTAACTCATTGGCACACAACAGGAGATGTGATTTCTTGAACTTAAATCCGGTATGCTGTTTTTTCAAATACTCAATGCACCACTCTAGCATGTACTTTGACTGATCCTCATGCCAATTCAAGGACCTCTCACGGGAGGGTGCAACAACATCAACCTTAGCCTTTCCCTTGGCCATGGCTGTTTTCCATACAAGAGATATTTAATTAAAATCACAATTAAATTTGCAAGGAAAGGTACATAATAGAGATCACAGAGACTCAAATAAATTGGGATGACACAACAACAGCCAACCTGTACCAGGTACATGTAGGTACAAAGCATCGCATTATATATGTTCCATACATAGAAAAGAAAGCATCACACTTGAATATATGTTCGATACACAGAGGTAAATCAACAAGAATTAATTTGCAAAGATAGTAGCACACAATTTCTTGAACCTAATCTAGAGCAGCTCCTACTTTATCTTCCCACATCCTTTGAGCCATGTCATCTCTTTTTCTAGCCCATGCCACATTTTCCTGGTGCATATCACTACGATTTCTAATACTTCGAGGCAAGGTTGTGTACCAAGCAGCATCATCATAAACATACTCGTCAGACCGTCCCCAGAAGATCCAATTATGAAGAGCACAACAAGCCATCACAATTTTGACTTGTGTTTTCAAAGGAAGAACGGTGACTCTTGAACATTTTGAAACGATTCTTGAGGGTACCAAATGCTCGCTCAACAAAGAGTTCTAAGTGAGGAATGGCGAAGATTGAATAATTCCTTCTTCGGTTCGAGAGGCTCCCGGTCCCCCTATATTCTTTTAGGTGATATCGAGTACCACGGCACGGAGGTAATACACCGTGCCTTGCTACATATCCAAAGATCGCCTAGGGAAATATTTGCCTACATCATTGGTTTTTCCAGATTAATTAGTTAAGTATATAGGTGAAGTTTTAGATTGGAGGTATTAGGACAATGGAGTATTCCTACCATTGGTATGTTAAGCCCATTAGGACGTGATAGAGCATCTTGAAGCACATAAGAATCATGGGTGATCCCTCCCATCCGGCAGAGAACATATATGAACCTTAGGTCAAAATCAATCATTTGCTAGCACATTTTGGCTTGTATATGATTTTCTACCCCTAAACCGATCTTGCATATGGAAAGGTACACATGCTTGTATATGTGTACCATCCAAGGCTCCTATGCATCCCTACGGAAATATTTTTTCAAAAAAATTAATATGACACCTAAACTAAACTCCAAATTATTGATTAACAAATTTGATGTACCTCAAAATAAGGGTGAAATCATCCAAGAACTTGTTATCTTTGAATGTGTCTCAACAGATCTTATATATATGAGGTCACGACCAAGGGTACAAAGGACATCTAAAACATGATGGAAATACCTACTAACAGCTTTCACTTGACCTCATGAACTCAAAACCAATTGATCTGTTTGACCAATGGTGCCCAACACAATGGATAAACATGGCAACTTGTTCCTCTATTGACACATGAAAAGTGTCCTCTAGCAAGGCACGTGATCTAAGTTCATGACAGAGTTTATGAAATACAGCTTTCCTCATACGCAACTCACTTATGCAATGGGCCTCAAATTACCATGATACAAACGATTTAGACGTGCCAATCTATCAACATCTCTATCTATCATGGGAGCATAAGTTATGGCCCTTCTTCTTTTCTTGATTTAATCCTATGCGTATATACATGGCCAGACACACAAGAATACCAACAATTAACCTTCTCCTCCATATATAATGGAAGTAGTCCAAGTAATACTGCAAGTATAGTTTTCTTTGACCCATCTAAAACATATGTTCAGAAATAAGGATGAATCAGTAATAAACTAGCAAGGCATCTCATCATTGATTTTTTTCTCCACCAAAAAATCAATGCCAAATGGGATAATGGAATTAACCTTCTTTGTGTGCAAGGGCTTTCCGCACTTGAACCTTCTTTATCTGCAGGGACTGATTGCGCATGACCAACACCACGAGATGGATGGATCTTCACCTGTTTCACTGATTTGTTTCAGATCTGCACACATGGAGAGAACAACCAGAGCTCAACAGGGAGGGGAGAAGCAATGCGACTGAGATGGAGAAGACGGTTGTGGGACTGATAATTTCAGATCTTTACCTGGTTGACTGAACACCACGAGAAGCAGAGGCAGTTAGGTAGTAGGGGCGGCGGCGTCCTGGTCCTTGGACTTGCGCGTGGACGTAGGAGAGGCGGCGGCGGCAGGGAGCGGGCGAGCAGCGGCTCCTGTGCGGCGGCTCCTGGCCGCGACGGCAGTAGGGCGCGGCAGCCTGATGCCTGGTCGCGAAGCGCGCGGGCGGTCCCTACGGGCGGCGTCGGCGACGGACCGGCTGGGAGGATGTCGGCATTTTTTTCGATTGGGAGGAGTGTCGGGAGATGATAGGGAGCCGGGATGCTTTTCTACTACGGTGAAAATCCAGGTTCGGCGCGCCACGGTGGGCTGGGGCGGCAAAAACGCCCGCCACCGCCCGCCACACTTTTTGCGAAGGAATTCTGTGGCGGGGTAATTTCGTGGCGGTGGCGTACCGAATCTGAATGCTGAACCAAACACCTACCAAAAACCTTGTGGCAAACTTAAGGTTAGGTGTGGCAGCCTGTGGCCACGATCCAAACAGCCCCTAAATGTGCACTTGAAAAGAACTATTCAAAACCGTTTATCTCCGCAAAAGATTTTACCAACGATTTTTTTTTGAGACAATCCCTGTCAAGCGATCTCGAGATTATGGGTTAGAATAAGAAACCATTAAATCTGTTTGAGTGTTACACCATGTCATCAGAATCAAAACGTTTCTTTAAAAAAACTATATCCTTGTCAAACACAGGCTCACATTTTTTTGACAGGTGCTCCGTAACCCAAGTCAGAGTGCATAGCATTTTCTTTGAGACCGAGGAGGAGCCCACTAGCCAGCCGGCCAGCCAGTTCGAGTTCCCTACGCTCTAGCTGGCCCGCCGAAGCCATCCAATTTGCCGCGCCACCGCGCGGATTTACGCATATGCCCCTGGGTGGAGTCCCATCTGCCGTAATTAAGCCGAGCCCGGGTGGCAGACTGGAAGCCCAAACGTTGACTCCTCTCCACTCCCCATCCCTCCACGTCAACACCGCGCCGCCACGTCACTGCTCCCCCCTTCCCTGCCCTGCGGCGTGAGGAGGGGGCGGGTGCGGACAAAACGGACACCCACCACCATTCCATACCAGCTCCACCTGGCACGGTGCGCTTCAACCCCTCAGTTCAGCATCTATTCACATCGCAGTCCTCCGGGCCTCGGCTCGTGTCTTGCAAAATTTGCATGGGAGACGTTGAGGAAGACTGATTTTGTCAAACGGACCCCCGCGGCTCCTGCAAGTCTGCAACTACAGTCTTAGCGCACGGCGCACTCCCGCACGCACGCCGCCCTCCTGCTCTCCTCGGCAGTGCGGCGTACTGGTGGTAAAAAAATAGGGCACTTGGAGTAGCTTGGCGAGTGCTCCACATCGCTTGCTTTCCACCGCCGGAGCCGGAGCGTCGGATGCCATGGGCAGCGGCGCGTCGCGGCTGTTCACCTCGTGCGCGTGCTCGCGGCCGGCGCCGGCGCCCGCGGACGATGGGCCGTGCCTGGACGACGCGCTCGGCCACTCCTTCTGCTACGCCGCCAGCTCCGCCGCCGCCGCGGGCCACTCGTCCTCCTTCCGCCACGCGATCTCCGGCGCCGCGCTCTCCGCCAACTCCTCCGTGCCCGTGCCGATCTACCACTCCTCCGTCGCCGGCGGCGGCATGCCGCCGCAGTACTCCTCCGCGTTCCACACTTCCTCGTCCTTCTCCTCCGCGCCGCTGCAGCTCTCCAACCTCTCCTCGGGGCCGCTCTTCCTCTCCGGGCCCATCGACCGCGGCGCCCAGCTCTCCGGCCCGCTCGACCAGGCCGTGCCCTTCTCCGGCCCGCTCCCCGCGAAGCCCACCAAGCCCGCTCCCTCGTCGTCGTCGCGAGGATTCTCGAGGAGGTTCCGGAAACCCTCCTTCGGCAGCCTGCGGCGGAGCGTCTCGGAGAAGAACCGCCCATGCGTCGTGCCGCTCCGCCGGGAGGACGGCGTGCAGTGGGCGCACGGCCGCGCCGGGGAGGACAGGGTTCACGTGGTTGTCTCCGAGGACCAGCGTTGGCTTTTCGTCGGCATCTATGACGGCTTCAACGGTCCCGAGGCCCCGGACTTCCTGGTCGCTAATCTCTACCGCTTCCTGCTGCGCGAGCTCCGTGGGATCTTCTACGAAGAGGCCGACCCGGACTCCAAGCGACTCTGGCAATTCCTGGTGGATGGCGACGACGAAGACAGCGAACTCGACTTCTCGGGCTCCGGCCGGTTCGCGCTATCGCTTGCCACGCTCAAGGAGCAGCGGCATCCCATGTGGGCCCACGCGGCTGCCGCTGGCGATGGTCAAAGCGGCAGGGAGTGGGGAGTTAAGAGGTTGACGGCCGCGCCGGCTGTGAGGGACCACATGGCGGTACTGAGCGCACTGGCCCGAGCGCTAGCTACGACAGAGTCGGCGTACCTGGACATGACCAGCCAATCAATGGGATCCCACCCAGAGCTGGCAGTGACCGGAGCTTGCCTGCTCGTGGCCCTGCTAAGGGACGACGACGTGTATGTAATGAACCTTGGGGATAGCCGTGCCATTGTGGCGCAGCGACGAGACGACGACGACTGCTTGATTGGAAGCATGCGGGTGGAGGACATTGGTGTGGGCTTGGAGACCGAGTCAAGGATCCCTGGGTATTCTGCAATTGGGCTTGAGGCATTGCAGCTGTCGACTGATCATAGCACGAGCATTGAAGAGGTAACCTTTTTGCAGACATAGCTGAATTGATGCATAATGCTAATGCATTTGTGCATCTGCTGAGTTCACTGAAAAGATGAGCTTGCATCCTATATAAATATTCAGACCCAATTGTATTTTGTTATCCTGGTTGAACATGCCCTTTGGTACAGCAATACCTATGCCATTATGTGTGAACTTTGTAGTGGCTTCTGTGAGTACATGTGCAGTATGTGTATTGTCCTGTTCAACAGCATGGCTTTATAATCGACAGACCATTGTTCTTTTGGAGTTGTGAATTTATATATCGTAGTAGAATAGTATGGGTGGA